TTAAAAAAAAAAAAAAAAAAAAAAAAATCAACAAGAGCAAAAGAAAAGGTGGGGGTATAGCAGAGGAAGCCTCATCTGCTCACGTCAAACCATGACAAAATATCTCCAGGATCATATACTCATATACATGAAGTCTTTCCCTTTTAATTTCCATCTCTTATAATATATTATAATATATCACTCTCGAAATCAAAATTTGGAGGCTCCAACAGATGCTCCTTGAACTATTGTTTCAGAGCTCCTTTTTTTCTTCTTTTTTTTTTCCTTCTTTTTCTTCCCTTTGAAGAGGGGGTGGGGAGACGACTTAGCATTGGCTAAGCATTCCTTTCTCTAATGCCACGAACTGCAGCGAATTTCCCTACCTTCAGCCACTAAAAAAATTAAGTCAAACTTTGGTGGATGCAGTTTTTAAGTTACACCGTCCTCAAGGTTAGTGAACACAAAAATTATGGTACTGGCTGGTCCAAATCCTTGGCAGGACATGAAGAAGATGCGTCTCCACTGGAATAATTCTCATCGTTTTCAGAAATTACTAGAGCTTCATCATGGTTTTCCTCCTGGGTACTGCTTCGGGCTTTTCCAGGCCTAGTACGAACATTTACCCCCATTGGAAACGGAACCTGTAGAAATACAAGTCAACATGACTTCTTGCGGAGTGTTCAGCAAACAAACAGCAAATATTCCACCATTCAAAGGTTTGCCTATGTTATTCTATTGCATACCTGATCGCCTGCATTGGGGCCATCAGTGTTGAAAAGGATTGGCCGACATCGCTTATCCTCATTCATTAAGCTTGAATTCTGGAAATGAGCTATGAGAGCAGCTTTTCCCTGTATGCGAGCATATGCAAGTGATGCCACCTTCTCACTATTGAATTTCTCCCATTTTTTTCCATTAAATGCCTGCAAGTAGGGCACTCCTTTGTCAATCAAAACTTAGCAAGTATGACCTCAACATTCTTCCTGCAAGCTTCAATAGCATACAAACCTCATAGAATGGAATGATTAGGCTAGGATCAGTCATGTTAATGAACGCATATCCCACATTACATTTGTTCTGCAACCAAAAAGTGTGTATAAGCAACAAAATTGTGATGAAACAGAACGAAGGAAGATATTTTGTGGCACTTCTCCCATAAAATTGAGTGGTAGCTTCTGAACATGGAAAAACTTGCCTTAAAGTCAATGGGCAGATAGATGAAGTCATAAGTTCCTCGATGGCGTTCATCAATTGCAGCCAAAAGCATCTTTGAAGTATATCTGCAATTACAATCATGATGGATTACGAGCTTTCAGATGGTAACAAGAGCAAGAGGGGACCAACGACTGATGTTAAGAACTACTAAAACATAACTCTTCCTTTTTGCATTAGAAATGGGATGATATTATAAATATCACTATCAATTACGCAGTTCAACATCTTTACGTCCCTGCGTTAATTAGCTCAACTTGCTACTCGAAATACTAGACAATTAAGGCAGGGAAAACACACATTTTCCTTTTATTTTCTTCTTTTGTCTAGGTAGGAGCGAGGGTTAATTTCAAAGGAAAATCATCAATAAAAAACAGATCTACAGACGGAAGGAAAGGGCAAAATAAGGGGCAAATTTGGTAGTGATATTGCCACATTCTCAATAACCCTCATTCAGTGAAATACTAACTTCATTATGCGACCAGCCATACTCATAGCAACCAATAAATTTCCTCAGACAAAGAAAGAAAATCTAATATGGTAGACACAATGCAACATAATTCTCTTGTTTCATAAAACAGCAACTCTACTGGCTCAAATCATTCGTGTATGCACTCAACATAAGATGAAAGAAGTCGAGTCCAGAGTGGCACATATTCCTCCACTAAATGAGCAAAGGTGGCATAAACATGGTTCCAATCATCTCATGAGACTAGGAACTACTTTAGATGTAGGTGCTTGGGAATTTAATGAACTGAAGCACAATGCATTTAATTTGGGTAGCTAAAGACAAGCAGAGATAGTAAGAAACAATCTTATCATGACTTTACTTGAACAGAATCGGTTCTATAAGCTATATAACTGTGTCCTTGAATTCTAAAGAAACCATCATTTATTAGAAATAACTATGTAGTAGTCGCATCCCCTTGTGGCCCCATACATCTTAAATACAAGAAGACAAAAGTCCTTGAAGTTACAAGACAAACCTGAGACTAATTCAAAAAAAAAAACTCCCTCCTTGTAAAATGAGCATGGAGAAAAGATACAAAAAAAATTGGAACATGAAGAAAAGATACAAAAAAATTGGAACATGAAGAAAAGATACAAAAAATTGGAGCATGAAACCAAAAGTTAACTTAAGTGGAGAAATCCACACATGGTCTCAAACCATGTTGAGCAAAAAATCACCTAACGAAGTGGCATTCAATTAGCACCTATCACACATTTGCAAAAATTTCAATTTTGAGGCAGAAGAAAAAATAACAATGCTCTCAGAATCAAACTGGCATAATCTTTTTGTATGAGTTAATAATATCATAAATGAAAGGCAAAACTGTCTTATGACCTTTGAATGGTCATCAAGATCACATGAAAACTCTCCCATGCAAAAACAGAACATGAGTTTATACGTACAGTGCACTAACCTTTATTATACCCTGAAAACTGAACAATAATCTAATGGAAAGAAACCATCATGATTATGAGAAAAAGTATAAAAATTTAAGAGAGAAGTACTAACTTGTTAGGAATGTTCTTTATCATAAGTGTAGTACGATTGTCTTCACCCCTCAGTATGCGATCAATATCAAGTTCATATTGCTTCTTATCTGCTTGATTAGAGGCAGCTTCAGTTCTTCGGCTTCTACCACGTTCGTTTGAAGAGTCAAACGAATTCATCATTGGAAGAACTTGGCCTCGTCCAGGAAAAACCATGCACCGCTGATGATGGGATTGTAGTCCTACATTTCGTTGGGGGATAGGAAGCTCAACAGAATTTCCACCAACTTGTGGGAAGATGCGAGAGAAAAATTCCATAGATTGTGGTGAATTGTTAGGCAGATTCATATTCCCAATAGAGCCTGAATGAAAACCAGAGGCTTTTGACAATTCCCCAGCATAAGCATGCTGCCTATCCCAAATAGAAGGATTAACTGCTGGTGCTGATCCAACATGGTGATTATTCATGGGCAGAACTGTGTGCATCAAATGAGATGCTGCTCTTGGAACTCCATGGACTTGGGTCGGGGTATGAGCAGCAGAAATTCCATTCATATAAGATGGAGAATTTGGCCATACAACACCTGGAGCTGGAGGCTGCGGCCGGTAGGAATTACCCCATGTATAATGCGGTCCCGGAATGGGGCCAGCTCTGTTACCACCAGATGCAAAAACTGCAAAAAATAATAGCATCCAGCTAAATGAAAGCACGAGAAAGCTAAAAAAACCATCCTTTCATCCTGACGAAAGTAAATTGTTAACAATTGACATATACAGAAAATAAAATGGCTTCCGGTGAGTAACAATCAATTTAAACATAATAATGTTCTGCCCATGCCTGCGAAGGGGATTGGAACCTGTCAAACATCATTCACCAGCCCAGATTTCAGCAATTTGTTTTCTACTTTTTGCAGGAAACATAATAAAGTACTAAAACCAAACCGAGCACAAAAGAAGGGATAAAGGAACCCCCCAAAACCTACCAACTAGGGATCACAAAATGCTACCCACTTGATGTCTATAAGAAAATATGAATAGTTTATTAAGAATCTCTAATCAGCTGCATAGTGAACCAACCATTTCAATTGAACATGGAAAATGAAGACCCTTGATCAAATATTCAAGAAGACATTCAGTATCATTATAGGACAAATCGTGAAAATAATTAAACCTACCATCTTCATTTAATTCAATTGAGCGACCATTAAAGTTCACTCCACATAGCTGCCTGCTATCAGCTCTTTCTGGTGGTCGTAGACTGATGTTTCCTGCAATTGCATTCATAGAATTGCAGTGAATATTGTTGTTCAACCCATCAGGATGTTCTGGAAGGGAATGAGGATGAATAGCCGAAGCTGCCCGGATACCCAGCTTTAGTTGTGAAGGTGAATGACCAGAGTCAATGAAGCCAGATTGGTTGCCAATTGATTCAGATCTCATCACAGAAGGTAAGCTACTTGGAACGCTAGAAGATATCCCATGATGCAACACAGTCTCCAGAGATGGAGCTCGCATCATAGAGTGTACTCCAATAACAGATCCATTACTCATGCTGCTAGACTTGATAGTCCCACCAGGAACTAAGCCTACAATATTTTCCTTGGGTGAGACAAATAAAATACTCAGAATTCATAAGTAACGAGCATGATTTTCTTTCGGTTATAATACCAGAGAAGCCGGCACTACTGTTAATGGGTGGGCTACCCTGTTGCAAATAGAGACCAATATCTTCCCGCTCCAATTGTGGATGTAATTGTTGCACCAAACTGGAGCACGAAGATAAATAAATAAATTTGTTAGCATCCACTAATAACTTGTTCCTTCTAATCTAACTCTATTGGAGATAAGAAGACATATATATATGTATATATAAATTCAACGAGGCTAGGATTGAAACTAAGCATAAACAAGCATCAAAAGAGCATATTTGTCAGAACCTGCGTCTCACGCCACCAGGACGACTTGGCTCAAGCTTTATCTGCTTCCCTGCTATATCACTCAGGTTTAATGCACAAAGAGCAGCCTCTGCAGCTCGGATATCATAAAATTCAATGAATTTATGATGACTTCTGAGGGGGGCTTCACGAATCTACAATTTTGAAGAACAGTGTCAGATTGCTCAGAGCATATAATGGAATGCAATGAAAAAGAAAAAAGGAATCACGGCCACACCTCCTTGATTTCTCCATAGACACCAAATATTTGACGAAGTTCTTCATTTGAAACAGAAGACTCAAGGTTAAAAACAACAAGAGTTCCTTGGTTGATATCTTTTTCAGAGGGGTTGTCCTGAAAAAGTAGTATAAAGAGAGATGTGAGGAACGAAAGAAGTCTTTAAAGAATTTAAGGAAGATAACTTGATGCAGTTAGTAATGATAGATTACGAATAAATCTCCATGAAATTCAGATACTTCGTAAACAGCTACTTAAAATGGAAAAACAAATAAGATAATAGTTCAACCAATTAATGCATTTTACATTTGTCTTAAAGGTCAGCAAATCGATCCACCACTGGTGACTTGAACTCAAAAAGATAAGACAATACTGAGCAGAAACCAACCTTCGGTATAGAATAATGTATGTCAAGCTTCCTTCGTCGCAATGGTTTATTCTGGAGTGCTTTCATTGCATTCCGGGCAGCTCTAATATCATAATAGGATATCATCACAAACCCTCGATGTTTGCAGGCTGTATAGAGAGTGCGAATGTCTCCATATTGCTGCAGATTATAAAACAATAGTGTAGATATATAAATTAGTGGAGATGCTACTTTGAAAAGCACAAAGGAAACAACATAGAGAGTAAGAAAAATGTGCACCTCAAAAAGAACCTTCAATTCAGAATCTTCAACATTGCTATTTATATTTCTCACAAACAGTGTCCTGGAAGGATGTTCACCTAAAGGATGCTCTCCAGCCATAGCACTGTTAAACATCCCTGGCAAATTGTTAAAAATACCTCCAGGAGATTCAGAATTCTTCTGTCCAACAGATATGCCATCATCGCCCAAATCCATCCCTCCAACATTGCTAAAGAAATCCAAGTCCTCAGCATCATCCTCGCCGGTTGTTTCAACCAAACAATCAAGCCCATCAGTTACTCCAGCAAGTAAGTCGTCATCATCAGGGAGGAGGTTTCCAATGGTTTGGGCCTCCAATTCTTCAAGTGACTCAAAAACCTCCTCCTCCTCAAAGTGAGATGCAACAGTGTCAACAGAATGGCCATATAGTGCATTGCTTGGAGAAAATCGCACTGCACAAATAAATATACGTAAAAGAATGGCTTACAGGGATAAAGTTGATAAGGTTGAGCAAGCCAAGAATGAATCTCATTCAGAACTTATTTGCAAGTTCCTTTAGATTTCAGTTCATTAGCCAGCATCCTCATCAGGTACATATATGTGAGGAAGCAATCAAGAGACTTACACTTCCTAGTAAATATATCTGATAAAGAACTCGAGAAGAGACTACTCTCATACTGAGAATTCATCATATTGACTTCATTACTACGAGCAAAATAATTGGATGTTCTTTCAGCTCCAACAGCATGTCTATTCAAGATAAGACTTGCATTCTGGTCTCTCACAGGAAATGAATCGTGATTTTCCAGTGAGTTCCCTGTCAGGCACTCGCCTATTGAAAGTTTTTCCACAGATGATGAAGCACCTGAAATGTTACTGGCTGTTCACAAACATTGAAACAAATATCTTTTCAGTAGAGGAAATCAGGAAAAGCCTTCTCAGCACACACTACAATAAGAAGCTTAATTAACAACACAACAGAACCAACTCAAGATAGCTCCATCCCAGGAATATTGCTGAAATAAAATCCTTGCCCATATCTGATTTTAATTCTGCCCTTAATGCTTTGAAAGTTTCAATTTAACCTCCAATCCTTTAATTTGCTTTCTGAAAAACTCTTTTGTTCAGAATTCCCGTTAAAATACCTAGAGGATTTAATAGATTGACGGTAGAATTGAAGCTCATAAAAGGTTTAGAACAAAATTGGAACAAACTACATAGGTTAGGACCAAAATTGAAACTGACAAAACTATGCAAAATTGATCTCATTTTTTCATTTTTATTTTTATTTTTTTGGGTATGCACGCACATGTGCATGGTGACTGGGCACAGGGGGATGAAATTAACCATGAATCTGTCGATAAGCTGTACTATAGACTTTCAGGCAGGTAATGTTGTTACAGTATGAACAAATGTGCGTAGGCACAGTTATCAAAGAGGCAAACTGTAAACTGAAAGTCTTTAAAGCATTGTGGGGTCAACCCACAATGACCATCAATCGGACATTAAATCCTACGAGATTTCTCATGCCAAACATTAGAGGGGTCAAAATGGCTATTTTGTGAGATTAGCCATGGTGCAAAAGTTGACAGAACACCCATGATTATCAAAGAAAAAAAGTATTCCTATGGCATACAGAGCAAATATGAAAGAAAGATAATTAGAACAAGAAACATATACTAGGTATTTAACATGTGCCTCATACTGGACATTTGTTGGGAGGATTGGAGAGAGAGAGAGACTAAAGTCTCAAAATATTTCTCGAACAGTGATAGTATCATGACATAGCTAATTGATAATGACAAATAAGCTTAAGGTCAAAATATGCTAGATGCCAATTTCAAATTTGACAATCAACTTCTTAGTTAGAAACAAAACATAAGCAGGATTTCCTACCATTTAAGAAACTGAGATATTAAATAGAATATAAGATAATTAGCAGGTCCAGAAAATAGAAATTCATGGATAGTACATCATCTAAAACAAATGATAAAATCTATTTCTGTTTTGCAGTGGGTTAATCACAGACAAGTATCTTCGAACATTGCACTTCTCATGCATTCTATGTCATGTTGATGTTCCAATTTATGAGAATTTACTTCCACTGCAATTAGATTGCATATCATTGTAATTTCCAAATGCCTCTTTAGAACCCCTAGACATGCTACATTTCTCACAACAACACAGAACAAGAAATAAGTGGTGGTCAATCAATTAAGGACAATTATATTCTCTACTTGAAAGTTCAAGTATTCAAAAGATAATAACACAAGAAACTAAAAGTAACCAAAAAGAAAGAAAATATAAAAGTGGTTCGTGGGTCATTTGCACTGACCACGGTGATTTGGCACACCAGCCGACGTCCAAACTCCAACCTGCCCCTGGAACGCAAGGAAACAAAAAAAAAAAAAGAGAAATTGGAAGGAAACAGAAATGGTGGGTTAGACTGAAGTTCCAGATCCTCAAAAATGCAGTATTATGAACTGCAGGAACAATCAATCTCTCGTGCTAGAAAAGAGAGAGAAAAAAAAAAAAAAAAAAAAAAAAAAAAAAAAAAAAAAAAAAAAAAAAAAAAAAA